ATTACACTGTCCGGCGCCTCCCTTCACCCACCCCGCTGCTGCCCGTCCCCCAGAGAGGAGGCCATATGTGGCTCCCTGTGATCCATATTTTTTAAATGTATCTAACGTTTATGCTTTTTTTTCCTCAAGCATGTCAAAATTGTTATAGGAAAAAATGTTCCTAAAGCATATTTTTGGGGGTAGAGTATAAAAATGAGAAAATTTTCTTTTAAAAGTTCCTATGTATATGCTAATTAACATTATGCAATTTCCTGAGTTATTTTTATGCTGATAGCATATCCTTCTTCCACAAATTATCGCACTTAATTAGGTGAAATACATTTTTTGATGACTCAGCAAGCAGCAGAAGTTCCTGCTTTTACAGATATCCCAGATGCGGAGTGAAAAACTTAAATAAGTGTTTACCCAGCAGTGATTTGGTTGTAATTGCCTTGCTATATAAGAATCATTTCAAGGCATTATAATTAACATATTATTAAATAGTTAACAATTTTAGATTCAAAAGCATGAACCTATTTCAGTTGAGAAAAAGAGAAGATAAGCACTCTATTAAAATGCATATTGGCCTTATCTGTATACATTTAATACATTGGTCAATTAACTCAGTGTTTAGTATCATCAAAGACAAAGTGTGTTTTGCTATGTATTTCCATTTTTGTGGGCTTTGTATTTTATCAGGGAAAAACATGCCACCTCCTAACCCTAGAAATAAATTGTAGCCTGTGAAATCATCTTAGTAATGGCCTTCTTGTTCCAGTGTATCTGTCCTGTTAAGATTTTTATCTTGTTCATGGACACAGCCATTTTATTATTTAAGTATGGTAATAACCCATCAATTGCTAAAGTATTATTTGAAATATTATAAGATAATTATCATACAGGAGGATTTCTAATGCACTTGAATTTTGCTTACTCAAATATAATTAAAGCTCAATGTAAGCTACCTAGAAATGAACATGTGTGCTAACATTATGTTTACTGCCAATTTTGTAAGATTTTCAGACTCATTCTCTTCCTTCTATGAACATTTCATTCTTACTTCCTAAAAAATGTTGCATAACAGTAAATGTCCATGTCAAAATAAACACTCGCAACATATTTTGAAATGTTTCTTTACTATGGCTCTTCGCAGCAATTGGTGAACCTGAAATTATAGATTGGTTTAATCCACAAGGAGAGAAGATAATTTCTACACAGAGAGTCGCTGTGCAAAAAGATGGTGTTAGGTCAAGATTAACAATATACAACGCCAATATAGAAGATGCGGGGATATATCGTTGTCAGGCAACAGATGCCAAAGGACAGACCCAAGAAGCTACAGTTGTTTTGGAAATTTACCGTAAGTTGTGTATTTGTGACTTAGTCAAATAAACATGCTGTCTCTCGTTTTAAATTTAAGCCAAACTAAGTATATTTAATTATAAAAAACTAACCCTCACTGAGAATTATATGTCACACCATGTTCTTACACTTTTACAGATGCCAGTCTACTTATATTTTATCATGTTTCAGTTTGTGGTGCTGTGGAGTCATCCATCAACTCATTAGAAACATTATGTGTCAGAGTTGAATTGTCCCTTGGGGTTTTTCTATGCTGTAACCTTTAGGATCTCAGGTCACCAGCAGTTTCTTCTCTGGAGGGACTCAGTCTCCTCCACTTCCGACCTTTCGGTTAGCAGCAGGGGGACTGCGTGACCAGGACTCCTCATAGTTTCCTATTGAGTAAGTGAATCATGAAAAAAGGATAGATATTAGGTAATAAATGATGGTAAACACATAGAAAACCATATAAGCTTGGGATCAATTCTGTTTTAAATAATATAAATTAAAATATTTTTATTTTCTCATCTAAGAAAACACTATCAAAATAATTTATTTTGATGTAGGAAACTTTGGAAGACTAAATTTTCCATCAAAATAGATGAAATTATAAAAAATTACATAACATGATAGAAATGAGAATTGATGGACTGTCAGAAAAGAGGAAGAGAGAGAGTGCTGAAAACTCATTTAGTAAAGAATTTTACTCAGCTGCAAAACTTCAAGACAAACATTTTCATTAGCAAAGTTTACCAGACTTTTTTTGTAATTTATGACTTGAGATTGATTGTTTTCATTATAGTTTCACTTCTCTTTCCCTAATTAGAAATCATTATCCTCTGGTGCAGGAACAATGTGGGGCAAGCTGCTGATGGCTTCCTAACCAAGCTTTGCTACTTACCTTTGTGTCCTCTAGGAAATCCCTTACTCTCTAGCCTATGTTACCTCATCTTCAAAATCAATAAAATAATAGTGTCACTAACATTGGTAATTTTGAAGATTAAGTAGAATTTGTATAAAATATTAAAAAAATAATAGTTTACAATATAGATGGGATAGTATAGTGAACAATATAGATGTAGTGCATAGAATACTTACTTTTTCTTGATTATACAAACAGGAGATTGGGTGAGGGGTAAGGATGTAAAGTAGGGATTCTTGTTTGGTTACGAGGATAATTCCTTGATACATGTTGTCCTCATTTTTTCAAATTGTTTTTTCACTTCTATCAGGTTTTAATATCTTGAAGAAAAGGTGTATATTTGAATATATGTGTTTCCACAGCATCTATTTCACATATTACGGAAAGTTAAATTGGAATAATCTTTTAGAAGGTCGATATTTGGAAAGATTTCACATTATATTGATACCAAAGGAAACTTTCTATTGTCATTATTATTATTTTTAATTGCAAAGACAAGAAAATATTTTATTTTTCTTTGGCCAAGGATGAACTACTTATTGAAAAGTTCTTACCCAGCAAAAATTCACATGTTCATTATTACATTCAAAAATGTGTATATTTACTGAATACCTGGAAGCCACTGATTACAGGTACTCCAGTACTGAGTAACAGAATTCTCCCTTGTTCATGTTATGTGTAACCTTTAGTGGGCAGAGACACACAAACAATACAGAAACCTCAATGGGAAAAAAATGTGTATATATATATATATATATATATATATATATATATATATATATATAGTGTTAGGTGTGATATATCATTATATGAAGAAGAAAAGAAATGGGAAAGTGGAGTAAAGAAATATAAACTCTTAGGAAGAATATATAAGGAATTTAAGGGAACATAAACGGTATCAGAGTGATGGGACTGAGTCTGGGCCACTTAGGGTTTTGTGGCGCAGTCCAGTATTGTTTTACATGGTCTAGAAAACCCTATATCTATGGGTGACTATGACTCAGAATCAACTTGATGCCCATATTTTTGTTTGTTTGTTTTATTTTGTTTCGTGTGTGCGCATGTGGATTTTAAGGGCTTGGGATATTATTTTCAGTGCGATGGAAAATTATTAGTTAGAGGAATGATACATGCTTTACATATGGAAAGGATTTTGGCTCACCTAATTATTTTATTATATATTAAAACACATCGATTCTGGAATTTATTATTTGGATACACAAAAAAGAATGATATTTGGATGGGTTTTTATTTTGTCCATACAGAAAAACTCACTTTCAGAGAAGTGGTATCTCCTCAAGAATTCAAACAAGGCGAAGACGCGGAGGTGGTGTGCAGGGTCAGCAGTTCACCGGCGCCTGTCGTCAGCTGGCTGTATCATAATGAGGAAGTCACCGCTATTTCCGACAGTTAGTATTTTGGTAACTCTCTAAGTTATATGTTCTAATCATACTTTAATTTTAGAATAAAAATACTAATATTAATGGCTAAGTATAGCAAGTGGACTGTGCTCTTAAAGAGTGTACAACTATTTTGTGAATCTTAACTTTCTAGACCAGAGGTGGGAAGTCTTTTTTATTCTGCCAAGTGCTATTTGGAGATTTTTAATCTCACTCTTGAGCCATACAAAATTATTAAATTAAAAAATCATCCTGCTATATTTGGTCAAACATTTAACTAACTGGACCCTAATGCAATGACTGTCTGCACCTTCTTCTGACCGGGCATATTAGCTGTTAGGTCTCCCTGTGCCTAAATGGCCTTCAGGCAGATGTGCCCTCCTATGTTCTAAAATATGGCCTGAGTCCCAAATCCAGCCAGCCTGCTTTTGTGAGACATTATGACTAACTGAGGGGAGCCCTGGTAGCATAGTGGTTAGGCATTCTGTTGTGATTCACAAGGTAAGAAGTTCAAAATCACCAGTCACTCTGCAAGACAAAGACTCCCATAGACTCCTGTAAACAGTGTTCTACTTTGTTCTATCTACAGGGTCCTTCTGAGTCTGCATCACCATGATGGCAGTGATTCTGAGAGGATTCTTTTTGGTTTCTCTTTTGTTTGTTTTTTTTGGTGACTACCTGCCATGGATCTACTATTGCTGCTTTATGCAGAGTTAAATCGCAGTGACATAGATTTCCCCTTCTAAAAGCAAAAATATTTACTATGTGATGCTGTAAAGACAACGTTTGCCACCCTTGCTTTCTAATCAAGCAAAGACTCATACATTCCAAGTAGTAAAACAATACTAAGGAAATGACAGCATCAATCTTCATATATTCAGATTATTATTTTATATATGATACTCCAAACATGATCCCACAGTTTTGAAGAGTTAAATTTAAATAACAGCTATATGAATTATGTTTATTATCCTAGGATGTACTTTCAAGGACACCTACATGTTCTGAATATTGTGATAAAATGCATATGGATAATAGACATAAAAATATATTCATTCAAATTGTCTTCATGATTTTGATTCAGTCTGAACTAAAATTCTAACATAATATGACATCTGAAATTGAAAGCACAATTTGTCGGCATTATGTTACTTTATCATTTTTAGCATTGTGCATTGGGAGCACTTTCAATTTAGAACATTTTTCAGTGCACCTGCATAGCAAAGAGGTACAAAATAATTGAATCTTTTTTAAATACTTCCCATCTTAGTTGATTCAGTTTGTGTTTCTAGGAGATGGAACTTCTATACTGTACAGGAGAATAAAGTAGATGGTTAGCATCTATTTTAAAATATGTATCATCATCATGTACAGCAATCATCATTTTTTTTAATTATGAAATTTTTTAATATAATTGGTTCATTTCATGATAGTCAGTTATTATCACTTTTAATCTCAGAACAAGTTGTTGAAAAATAATACTATTTTCTATCATATTTTAGAATATAAGCTTTAGAATCTACTAAATTACAACATGCTTGTGTAACATGTTTTCATTTTTTTCAACAATTATTAAAGGCATCCCATTTATAGTATAAAAATTACAATATATTAATGTTTTCAGGTTGCCTAGTCTTAGCTTTCTAATGTGAATCTATTTTAAATACCGTGTACTTTCAAGAGAATTTAAAAATTAAATATATTTTAAAATCACACATAAAACAAACTTCAAATCAAACAGTGGTGTTGAATTTTGTAGTGAGGGAATAATAATCATTTTGTCCTTCAGTTTTCACACCTTGTTCCCAGTAATGCAGGCTGCTATGATATGAATCAGAATATTCTGTATTCCTTCTATTCCTATCCTAAGGCTTAGCCTTTCAACAACTATTTAAAATGCCTTAAAATAAAATGACTAATATTTTACCCATAAATAATTACCCATTTATATATAAAAACCAATCACTTTTTAATAAGACCTTGAGTATAAAATAAATATTTATTTGCTGAATGAAAAACATTTGGTAATATGATCAGTTGTCAATAATTGAAATTTATTGTCTCATTTATTCTTATTGAGTTTTTTCAATCCAGGGTGCCAGCTATTATATATATAATATAGATATATATATCTATATCTATCTATCTATATATATATATATATACATATATATATATTCATTCAAATTAGCAATAGAACCAAAAAATTCAACAAAGTAAAAATGACTAGAAATAAACAGCACAACAAACATGAAAGTGATATAAAGGTTTTGTTTGATTTTTTTATTGTTGTTATATGTGTTTTAAATTATTATATTACATAAAAGTATACCAAGGGCATTATGACAAAGGACAGAATTTTCCAATATTATAAAGCTAGAGAGACTTGTCACACAGTGCATTATCAAGCTCTATGTGTATTTAAAAAAAAAATTTAAGCCCTGGAAAGGCTTATTTAAAAAAGAAATCACTCTGAAAGCAGAAGTATAACTTTGTGTCGAATGAGAATTCCAGAACACTTCATTGTGCTCATGAAGAACTTATACACAGATCTAGAAGCAGTTACGTGAACACAGAAATGTAATATGTATGGTTTAAAATCAGGAACGGTGTGTGTTTGGGTTGTATTTTATCAGAACACTTGTTTAACATGCATGTTGAGCAAATAATCAGAAAAGCTGGTTTGGGGGAGGAAGCACATTGCATCAGGATTGAGGAAGGCTTACAACAACCTACAATGTGCAGATGACACAAACTTGCTTGCTGAAAGTAAGGAGGAATGGAAGCACTTCTTGTTGAAGATCAAGGATTATAGTCTTCAGGATGGATTACAACCCACTGTAAAGGAATTCAATATTCTCACAACTGATTCAATAGGCAACATCATGATAAGTGGAGACATTTTTGAAGAAGTCAAGAATTGTGTCTTGCCTGGCTCCACAAACAATGCTTATGGAACCAGCAGTCAAGAGATCCAAAAATGTACTACACTGGGTAAATCTGCTGCACAAGACCCCGATCGAGTATGAAAAACAAGGATACTACTTTAAGGGCTAAAATGCACCTGACCCATGCCATAGTATTCTTCATTGCACCATTTACATGTGAAACTTTAACAATGAATAATGAAGATCATAGAAAAACTGATACATTTAAATTTGGTGCCAGAGAAGTACATTGAAAGTACTATGGACTGCTAAAAGAACAAACTAATTTGTATTGGAAGAAGTAAGGCCAGAGACCTCCTTAGAGATAAGGATTATACAATGTTGCCTTATATACTTTGGACATATTGTCAGGAGACACCAGTCACTGGAGAAGGATAGTACACTTGCTAAAGTGGAAGGGCAGGAAAAAGAGGAATGCCCTCATCAAGATGGATCAAAATCAGGATGATGAGCCCTTGACCCCATCGGTGGGCTCAGGCATAAGAACAAAGGAGGGGATGACGCAGTGTTTCGTTTTTAAAAAAAATAAGTTTGCTATGGATCAGAGCTGACTCAATAACACTTAACAACAACAACACACCCCTGAGAAACCTTCCTTCCAGTTCCATCAAGCCTGTGACCTTTGCTATTCACAGATTTGATTGGGATGTTAGATCCCAACATGGAGTTAATCACACTGTATAAAATCATATCATATGAGATTTCTTATAAGATTTTTACTAAGAACCCTGGCCCATCGAAATTGACCCCAAACCTATCAAATGTTAGTTTATTCTAAAACTTGAATATATACCTAAATAGAAAGATAGATAGATGATAGATAGATAGATAGATAGATAGATAGATAGATAGATAGATAGATAGATAGCTAAGTGATGGGTAGATTGATTGACTGATAGGTGATAGACAGTTATTATGATGAAGAATGTGCTATTTGCAGTTGCCAACTTAATCTTGACAGGAGCTCTTAAACTTCCCAAGTTTCTACAATTGAAACTGCTCTGCATCAAAACCCATGGATACAATCATATTGTTTTACCACACTGTAATCCAATATACTTCTGGTGTAAAAGATGGATTCAACATGTATTGAATTTTCAGTAAATGCTAATGAGTATACTAATATACTAACTTCATAAAGAGCAACAAAACATTGTCTGATATAGTGCCAGAAGCTGAGACTCTCGGGATGGAAGACACTCAAAATATGACTGAGGAAGGGTTAACTTCTCAAATTAGACTCGACCATAATGGCATAGATGGAGTTAAGCCAGAGGAGAAATCCCTTTGGGACCTTCATCTGTTGATGGAACACAACTAAAAATGAGACGAAACAGCGGTATACATCAATTAATAATTTTAACTTGGAATACAAAGAATAAATCTAGGAAATTGTAAATTGTCTTTAAAAACTATTTGAAATGCATATAAAGACCAATAATCGATGTACTAATGGACTGAGACGGACTGGAGATGGCTATTCTGAAGCAGAAAATCATAAGGTGTACCATGCCAGGAGTGATAGATTCAAAAAGAATATCACTGGAGCCAACATCAAACAGGATGCTTCAACATCTGTCTTGAAGTACAAGACAGATGCTTGTACTTTGATGCTTTCTGTGATAGGATAATATTTACATACATGAAAATTCAGTCAATAAAACCATTATTGAAGTTTATGAACCAACCATTGAAGCGACTGATGAAGAAATGAAAGAGTTCTATCAACATCTTCAGTATGAAATTATTCAAGATGAATTAATAATTATGGATATTGGAATGCAAAAGTTGGAAACAAGGCATAATGAGTAGTATTTGGAAAATAACGTCTTGATGATAGAAACAAAGCTGGATATTGTATTAACGAACTTTGCAAACCAATGATTTCTTCATTGCAAATAGCCTTTTGGCACAAGACAAATAGCATCTATATACATTAATTGCTCCAGATAGAATACATAGAAACCAAAATGACTACATCTGTGGAAAGAGAAAATGGAGAAGTTCAATATCAGGAGCTGGAACCAGGCCCAGAGGCAACTATGGAACAGATCACCAAAT